TTCTTGTTGTTTTTTTTTTTTTTTTTTTTTTTTTTAATGGTCAAATTGGAATTGCATTCATTTACGTTAGCAAGTCCACAGGTCTACATCAGAAAGAATTTAAAATCAGCTTTGCAAGTAATGCATACACATAAATTGTTAGATCAGCTCCCTATCATTCCCTCCCATCTCTTCCCTTACTCTACTTACTTATGATACAATATCTTACTCTCATGTAAAGATTTTGCTATTGAAGCCATTTTTTTCCTTTGAAACAAGTGCAATTTTGGGAGAAGGGATTGAAATTACCCCTAATCGGGTAGATAAGTTGGTAATGGACTCTTTCAGTTTAATTAGAGGTTTTGGTTTCAAACCCTGAAAATGCAACTTTGCTAAAACTCGTGAGCCGTCCGTTGAGTCCTTTTGACTTGAATCTGAATTAGTCAGTGACACAATGACCAGTGGGTTTCCAAATATGCTCCATACCAAAAAAAAAAAGAGAAAAAAAAAAAAAGGGATTCAAACCTAATCCATGGGGCTGGAGTGCTGTATTTTTAACCAAACAGTCTATAAAGTCAAGTGCTCGCTATTTAAAACTTTAAATAACTTAGATTCAATAAATTGCGTTGAATTGTGTTTTTATTTTTCAAGTATGTTATTGCTGGTAGTCATTTTGTTAAATAATACTAGTCTTATTTAAATTTTTTTCACTGTCAATTCTAAAATTTTAAATAAAATTTTAACATAATAAATAAGTAAAAATTTAAAAATTCCTTTCAGCTGTGTATAATTCTTTTAAGTATGTTATTGTTGGTAGTCATTTTGTTAAATAATACTAGTCTTATTTAAATTTTTTCACTGTCAATTCTAAAATTTTAAATAAAAATTTAACATAATAAATAAATAAAAATTTAAAAATTCCTTTCAGCTGTGTATAATTCTTTTTTTGAAAGTAAAATTAAAAAAAAATCATTTTTCATAACAGGGGAAGCAAAAATTAATTGAGCCCTTGTAATAACAACAATAATATAATTATAATATTATATAAACTTTCAAATATATAATCATAACATAACTTTTAATGTATATAATATGATATTAAATAAAACAACTTTCTCTCTCTAGAAGTCTCCTCCTGCTGACTACATCTTTCCCAAGCTTGGTTCTTTTGTTTTTGGTGCTTGGAAGCCTTTGGCTTCCTAAGCTTTTGGGTGTTGGGAAGCCCTCTTGCTTCTCATGCATGTTGGAATCGATTTGTCATGCGCTGGTGTTCAGTGACCACCTTGAGTTGTCTATCAGTTTTCTTTTGAGGCCCCTCCGATGGTCATTTCCGTTTCTTTCTTTACTATTTTCTTGTTTTCTTTGTTTGTTTCCTCAGATTTGGTTGCCAACAAGCCAAATATGTAGAAATTAGGGTTGACCATTGATTTTCTTGCCCTGGCAGCTTAGAGGCTGAACTCATCTTCAAGAGTAGATCGAAGGATGTTCGGCTTTTGAAACGGTCGACTAAAGGAATTTGTAAATATCTGGTTACTTAGAAGTTGTTCGTGTGATTTTCACTATTCTTCTTTATATTTGTTTTTTTGATGAACTTGATTTACAGTGATTGTTATCTCTAGTTGGATTTTGTTTGATCTATCATGTGTTCTTATCACTGTGATAAAAATCCTTTATGTAGATGTCGTATGACTGTGTTTTAATTAAATAAGTTTTGCTGAGTTAAAAAAAAATAGTATTAATTAAATAAATATAGTATTATAAATAATTTTTTTTAAAAATTAATTATATTATAAAAGATCATATTATATATTTTGTAATGCTACTTAATATTATATCTATAAGATTTGAAAAAACAAAAAAAGAAAAAGATATTTTAATATTTTTAATATTAAATTATAATTATTAAATATATAAAATATAATATAAATTATAATTTTATTAAATTTACCACATAATTATTATTAAATATCTTAATATTTTTAATATTGAAACCTAGTAATTTCTCCTGCCATGCCATCTCAGAAGATACCAGAAAAGCCCCGCTCGTGCATCCTGCCACGTGGCTCTCGCCCTTCTCCAAAATTTGGCGGGTGTTACTTCCATAGGCAGAAAAAATTAATTGTTTATTAAAGGTCTTCGAGGGCAGTTCAGTCATTTCATAACCCCTGCGGCTAGGGTTTTCCGTTTTTTTTGGTGTTTCTCTCTTCTTTCCTCTGAGCAGAGCAGAGCAGAGCACAGCAAAGCACACTCCTTTTACCTCTGCACTCTCTCCTCCTCATTCCTTCATTATTCCTCATGTCGCTTCTTCGTTGATAAAATTCGTACCCTTTTCCTACCCTGCTTTCTTCTGGGGTTTCGTTTCTTGTTCTTTGAAAATCCGTCTCTGTTTCCCATTCCTCTGTTTCTCTCTGTTTTCTCCCCTTGGGGCCTTTCTTCAATCCCAGGGAATGATCAGGGTACTGTTTGATAACCACAAATTTGGTACTTTGTTGTTCACCAAATCGTTTTAGTCTCTCTCTTTCTGCTTGTAACTGATTTCTTGGGAAAAATTGGTTGATGGGTATGATGGATATCAGAGAAAAGGTGGGTGAAAATCAAGCTTCAAATGTCTGCCTTTGCCCTCCTTGTGTTGAGGTTTTGAGGTTCATGAAATGTCTGTTGTTTTTGTGATTGCAGAAATCGGCGATTGAAGAAGTGACTGAGAACAAGAAGTGCTGTACTGACTGCAAGACCACGAAAACCCCCTTGTGGAGAGGTGGTCCAGCCGGACCTAAGGTAAATCACGATCATCTTCTTCGAATCTTCTCATTTCCCTTTGACCCTTTTTTAAATCGAATACCCATTTGAGTTCATTGAGTTTTGGGTTTTTCTTTCTTCTTCTTCCAATATTCTCTGTTCTCTCCCCGATTCGATTGTTCAAGACTTTGAATCAATCATTTGGGTATTTTTAATTTCCGATTAATTTTTCTTGATTCGATTGTTTTAATGGATAAATAAAAATGCCTTTTTGTATCTGGCTAACTCGAATGCTTGATTTTGGGTTTTTCTTTTTTCCACCTGGGTATGTTGCTTTTGACCCAAATTCCTTTTAATCCACATGGTTTTTTTTTTTTTTTTGTTCATCTAATTCAACTTTTTCCTTTGTTCTGATCTGGGTCTGCTATTCCGATCATGGGTTCCGGCGTTTTCCAGTCTCTGTGCAATGCGTGTGGCATCAGGTACCGAAAGAAAAGAAGAGCAATAGCCAGCCTGAACAAAACACCGGAGAAGAAGAAAGAGAAGACACAATCACAGAGCATCACAACTGGTCCTTCTGCAGATACCCCAAAAACCCATCATGAAAAACGGTTGAGCGAGTCTGTGAAGGTGAGGCTATTGTTTTTGGGCAGTGAAGTTTTACTCCACAATTCATCATCATCTCCATCAGTGACAGTGAAGAAGCAGAGGTGCCAGAGGAGGAGGAAGTTGGGGGAGGAAGAACAGGCAGCTTTTTCTTTGATGGCGTTGTCTTGCGGCGGTCCTGTTTTTGCTTGAAGGAAAAAAAAAAATGGAAGAAAGACGACAACAACAGTTGTCTTTTTCTGTGTTTTGTGTTTTTTTTTCCATTTTCAATGAAATATGGAGGAGAATAGTCAGAATACCTTTGTTGTCTGTGTTTTCTTCATCAAAAGGAGAGAAGATGAGTATGCATTTTGGCCAAGGGCTGAGAGGCTCTCTTCTTGTTTTGAGAATTGGGGTTATGCCCCCAAATCAATATTGTACAAAATATTTTTGGTAAAGTATGAGGAATGAGAATTTTCTATGTTTTCTTCAGTTATTGTTGTGATTCATTATTTTATTTCCTACTCATTGTCCATTGATCATTAACATGTACTTCACAATTGGAATCCATTAAAAGTACGGGTACTTATTTTGAGATAGTATGTGGAGAGGATTTTGTTTTTGATAGGTTAGGTGACGAATAAAAAAGCTTTGAACACGTGAGAAATATTAGGGGCAAATAAAATCTAGTCTTCAAGAGAAAATGGATTGATGGGTTGAACATGCGAAAAATAGCTAAAAAATATTTAAAATCTTTATTTGGGGGCAAATAGAACTTCAGTCTTTGAGGAAAAATGGATTGGTGGGTTTATAACTTTAATGGGCATTTTAACGTAAGAAAGTTAAAGGTTTTAACGAAGTTCAATGGAGTTATACCAAAAGAACCATGGATGCTCATTTTCCCTTAAAAGTCCCAAGGTTTTATTTGACATTAATACAAATTTTTGATATTTTTATTTTCCAAATGTTCTAAGATTTTATTTTCCATTAAACTTTTTTTATATGAGATAAAGATTAATTGAATTGATGGTTTAAGTTAATTGGTTAAGAACAAGTTCAAGGTCCCACATCCTAAGTTGTAGGTTTGTATGACATGTTTCTTTTTTCAAAATTTTTGTAGTTGATTGGTAATGTGTTTAAGCGACCAAAATAATATTATATAGCCAATGATCTCAATAATTCAATAGTTATTTTCTTTAGTTAGAGTAAAAGATTTTGAATTCGAATTGTATCATATACAGGTTAGATGATTTAACAAATGTGAGAGGATTATTTCTTGTTATGCAACTCAAGATCCAATATATATATATATATATATATATATTATGTATACTTGTATTATCTTTGTGTTGATACTACCTTTTTATTGTACTCTACATAAATAATCTTTGGTATAAACTTTAAGTTTTTCTATACTAAACCCCGTGGTATTAAAAAATCATATTAAATTTTAATTAATATAGAGTTGAACCTAGTTAAACCCAATAAGAAAAGAAACTCTCATATTGCTTAAATTTAAAATATTTTTTACACAAAATCATACTCCTTCCACTTAAATTCTTACTTGCTTGTTTTGATATGAAAGTATGCAAGTAATATGTTTGGTTTTCAAAAACTAAAAGCAACAATGACACTATTGAAAATTAAATGAGGAAATAAAAATTGAAGACCCTATAATATTAAAAAAATCTCAAAATATCTAATTACAAGAATAAAATAGGACTTGGTAATTGAAGTTGGAGATCTCCAAAGGTGAGCCTGTTATGAAATCTATATTGGGCTCAATAGGTGAAGAGAAAGCCATTAGTATTACCGAAAGGAAAATGAGAAATCTAAATTAAAGTGACTAGCCCACCAAGAGAACGAGACTCTCAAACCCACAACAATATGCTCTCATCTAGAAATATTTTATTTACGTAGTATCTTTTTTTTATTATTCTAGATTGTATAATAGAAACAACTCTATTTTATTTTTTAATTTATCTTATTTATATATTATATAACTTAAATTTAAAATTTTTTATTTTTACTAAAAATAATTTATCATTAAATTATTTAAGTCATTTGTATTTTATTTAACATTTTTTAGTTGATTTATGGATATCTTTATTCAATATCTTGGGTATTATTAAAAATTTGTTCAAATACAAAAAATCTAAGAAAATAGAAATAATGGCTTTTTCTAAATTGTAATTGTTGCAAGTTACGTCAAAGAAAAAGTCTAGTTACGGCAATGGAACGTGGGAATTGCTTGTGGGTGCATAATGCGTGCCCTACTTTCTCAAGCAAACACCATATGTTCTTCACATGATGTATTTTTTTTTTTTTCCAAAACAAACCACTCAAATGACATACTTTCGAAATCTAATTGTTCTACTTCCTTCGTGTTTATACATACATACATATATATATAAACATCCACTCAAATAGTCTACCTTTTGTTTTATGTGAAACATGTGTTTGTCTTTTAAAAAAAAAAAAATTGTGTTAAGCAATCGAAAGTTATTTAAAATGTATTTTTTCTATAATTAGAGTGTTTTTGAATCTTCTAAATAATTTTAAAGTTAACAACATCAACTTTATTAGATTTGACCCTTGAGATTAAAAAATATGTAATTGAGTTATTGACTCTTTTCATCAAATAGAACACATAAATTTATTTGAGTTTGAGTTTTTCTTTCTTTTCTTTTTTAATGTTTTAAGCAATGGGAAGTTACATAAAATATAATTTTTCTATAATTAAGGTGTTTTTAGTCTCCCGAATAATCTTAAGAGTTTATTGTTTATGTTAATTTAGTGCATTTAAAATAATTAATTTTTCTTAATTGTTGATCTAAAGCTAAAACCCTAAACCTATCTTTGAAAACAACACTGGATCAATTCTAGTCCTTGAGATTATACAATAAGTTGGGCGATTTATTTATTTATTTATTTATAAACGGTTTACAATTAGGATAGAGAAATTTGAACCTTAACCTAGAACTAAGCGGATGCACTTTACAATCAAACTTGAAGTTGTCGAGCCACGAGGCTCAAGTGCAGGTAATCTACTCTTTTTATTCAATAAAACACATAAATTGATATGCACATACTTAATTAATGTTACACCAAATTGTGTTAAACATTGTAGAAAAAAAATATATTGTAGTTGAATCATCATGCTTCTCACTTAGTACAGAGAATTAATCACTCTTGGCCCAAAAAAAAAAAAAAAAAAAAACTCATCTATTAGACTAGTCATGTTATATTATACTCTCCAAGGTTTAGTTTAGAAGTGTTAAATTATAGATACAATTATAAGTTTTTTTTATCTTTTAATATTTTAAAAAATCATAAAATATATTTGATACTTATTTTAATTAAAATTTTACATATTTTTAAAATAATAAAAAGACATAAAAACTAAAATTTAAAGTATTAAACAACTCATCTATTAGACTAGTCATGTTATATTATACTCTCCAAGGTTTAGTTTAGAAGTGTTAAATTATAGATACAATTATAAGTTTTTTTATCTTTTAATATTTAAAAAAATCACAACATATATTTGATACTTATTTTAATTAAAATTTTACATATTTTTAAAATAATAAAAAGACATAAAAACTAAAATTTAAAGTATTAAACAGCTCTCTAAACAAAGACTAAAACATGAAAAAGCATCATAGCAAAATCTTCTTCACGAAGAAAGGAAAAAGCTTTTTCATTTGTAAGATTTGAAGGGATAAATCATAAAATTGATACTCCTAAATCAAAAAATTATAGTATTACTCACACTTAATTTTCTTGTCATGATAATTATAAAATATGTCGTAAGTACACTACCAATTTAAGGATTGGATTTCAAACCCCTCGGGTTCACAAAATTTGTAACTGTTTAAAAAAAAAAATTGTAGTACCACCAAACTCCATCAAGCAACCATATGGTCGTGCGCTTCATTAAGGTTGGTGGGTTGTTCATCAAATTTAAAAATTAAATCCCCAGCTACTAACATCTAACAATACTAACCTATTAATTATTACCCTTATAAAAAAAAATTTGTAGTACCACCGGTACATATTTATGTTAATTATGGAAGAGAATGAGAATATTCTACTAGTTATCCAAATTGAAAAAAAAAAAAGAAAAAAAGGAAGAGAGACAGATGATTTTCCTTTTAAAAATCTTAAAATATGACCCGGGTCTTCCGGATCAGGGCACCGGATCCGATTCCGTCGGGGAGTCACTGTTCCCATTTTAGCTTCGAAGGACGAAACTCTCACCTCCCCACCCCATACGATCTCCCACTTTCTCCAAGTTTCGCTCTTTTTCAATCTATAAATTCTTCATTCCAAGCTTTTTCGAAAGCAAAGAATGCGCTCTTCTCACGTTTCGAATACCCACTAGTTCAAGGCACGTCTCTCTTCCTCTTCTCTCATTGTTTGGTTGCTTAGAAAATGAAAGAAAAATTGGAGAAAGTTTGCTCAAATTTTGAATTTCGTGTTTGTTTGTTTCTATCCCGAGTACCCAAGAAAGATTTTTTGTAAAGAAACATATGAAATGCGATTGAGCTGTGAAAAGAAGCAATTTTGCTCTGGGTTGAGTGTATAATAAAGACTGGGAAAGTGTGAGATTGGAATTCTTAGTTTAATCATCTGGGTGTGTGTTAATTTGTTTAAAAGCAGGTGGGAGCAATGAAATGCAGCTTTTTTTTTGGATCCCATTAGCTAATACTGAAGTTTTGGGATTGTCATATGCGTTTTGAATGTGGATTTAATGAGCTTTGAGTTATTTGAGTTTATGGATTCTTGAAGTTATTGTTAGAGTTTATTGTTTTTTCTGCCTACTGAATGTTGATTTGATGAAGCTCTATCTTGTTTGCTTTGCTTGTGATATTGCTTTTGGATAACAAATTGCTTGTTGATTTTATGGATTGTGAATCACTTTTTTTTTTCCCCTTTCATTAAAATCAACTTAGGAATTCAATTATCAAGTATAGATTGATACATAATTCAGTGTCATGAATACAATCTTTTTTGGCAGTTTTCAGAGCTTTTGGATTTGAAATTCTGAATTTTTGATCTTTTGTGATTACCAATTTGGAAATTTATGATGCAACTGTATTATTTGCTAGGGGTGCCACCATGGAATTCATGCTTGGTTTTAATTTGGTTGCTTGGATATGGAAATAGCACCAGAACAATGGTACAATAGTTTCTGATAAAATAACGATCATGTGAGCTAAGTCAAGTTTTTGTTGCTCAAGTTAATCAATTTTAGTGCATCTTATTACTTTCTGTAGACATTTGTTAACTTGAGGAGCTCAAAAGTTTCAGTTTTTGATTCCCTAACTACTGTCCTCCTAAATGAATTTATTTATAGAGAAAAGTAATTATTTGGACAACATTGAAATTAGTTTGAGTGCAGCCATATGCATGATAATGAGAAGTTCTTCAATTTCACTATGAAAACATGTTTGAGGATGGTTTTGTGATGTTTTTGCTTTGGCTGTTTTTCTCAAGCTTCTATAGATTTTTGTTAGTCTAGATCAGTAAGACCATATTGCTATTGGTGTTGATGTTGGAAGTCTTGATTCTTCTCTAATTCAGGGCACTGTCATATTTGACAATTTGCAAATCTGGAAAAATGATCAGTAGTTAGCATATTCTCCTATCAACAAGAAAGTGCTATTCTTATATATAATAATCTCTTGGTTCCATTGTTGGATTCAGTGTGGTTGATAGTTTTTTTTTATCATGCTTTCTTCTGTAATGTGTTCATCCTTCATTTTCAGGTTGGAGCCTATTCTTTTTGTAATGTGGAATAATTTGCCGATTGGAATCTTGCTCTGATTTTCATGAGAACTGTTTCAATGTCCCTTTCAAATTTGATCTTGGTAGCTCCAAGAGATGGAATTCGTTGGTTAGCTAACTTCTGTTGGGAAGGCTTCCGTGGTGCAAGTGGGAGTCATGGAAGCAATTCAAGCTTCAGGCTCCTTTGTTCCAAGAGTAGTGGGCTTGAAGGAGGATACAGTAGAAGATGGACTAGAAGACATATGTCTACAAAAACTGAAGGAAGAAACAAGACTAACCTAAGCAGTAAACCTGGCAGCATTGTGCATGAAATTTTGGATGGGAAGCTTCCCCAAAGCGCTGCATTAAATGTAAATAAAACAGAAATAATTGAGACTCAAAAAACTCGGTACTGTGACATTCAACAAAAGATTGTGGAGAATAAAGACTTAGCTAGCCTTGTAACCACTATTGTCTTTGATATTGAGACAACAGGCCTTAGCAGAGAGGAGGAACGAATCATTGAGATTGCTCTTCAAGATTTGGCAGGAGGTGAAAACAGTACTTTCCAGACTTTAGTGAACCCTGGACGCTATGTTCCCAATCCTCACGTTCATGGTATAACAACACATATGGTCTGTAGACCTAATGTTCCAAGGTATGATTTCCCTCTCAATTCAGTTTCATTTTACACTTGCACAAACATTCATCATTTTAGGTGGCTAGTACTGCTTGTAGACTTTGAGGTTTAAATTATAGTTGGCTTTCCTTATGCTGCAATTTCCTTGTTTTTTCTTTCTAACATGGATCTGATTGGATGCCTGGTCACTGTAACTATCAGAATTTTGTAGGGGAAATATCTTTACTATTGAACTAAAACAACATTTTTCTATGGTTTGTTTGCTTTTTCATAGAAGGTCATATTAAGTTACACATCACTGCCAAGATTTCTTTGATTTTTTATCTAATTGGATGCATAAAAGATGCATTGTAATGATGTGATCAGCACTGGGATGTATTATAACTCACGCAATAATATCAAGTGCTTCATTACTAGATAGCAAGAGATGGTCAACAAGTCACTGAATAATGGAACCTCGGTAGGGATTAACATATACATATCAATTCACTTTCTGTGGAACTTGTGTGGTTTTTTCTGTTTTTTTCAATTGGTTTGGATTAGTCTCAGTTCTTCTTAGTTTTATGGGAAATGTTGCTTGTATATGAATAATGGCTGTCTATAAATGGGATATTTTGTGCTCATAGAACTTCTGTTGGGAATCATGTTGTAGGATGGAGGAACTAATTCCAATCCTACTGCAATATGTCAGTAGCCGTCAGAAGCCTGGAGGCTATGTAATGCTGGTTGCACACAATGGCCGTTGTTTTGATGTACCATTCTTGATCAGTGAATTTAACCGTTGCTCTTATGAGATTCCACAAAACTGGCTGTTTGTTGACACACTTTCTCTAGCACGTGAATTGAAGAAGTCGGGAGGTATCTCGTGCTCTCTGTCTCTCTCTCTCTCTCTTGCATGACTTATTTACCTATACAAAACTGATATTGATTTTATCTACAGTATCAAGGCTTCCTTCCAAAACATCGCTGCAGGCACTACGCGAATACTATAACATTCCCTTAGTTGGTTCAGCTCACAGAGCCATGTCTGATGTGAGGTCATTATCCATGATTTTGCAGAGGTTGACATTCGACTTAAAATTGTCAATCCCTGGTCTGGTTGGAAAATCTTTCACAGCCTTAGACTGCATCAACTCTAAGAAGAAGAAGAAAAACTCAGGCTAATTTCAAGTTATTCTGCTTTACTAACTATTTGTTGTAATTTACAATTGATTCTCATCAACAAGCTGCCAAGCCATATTATTTGTTCAGTCACTTCACTATCTTGTATACACAAATTGTTGCCACTACAAGAATATCAATAATAAAGTTGTTGAAATCTAGCATCTATTTTAGTGTGGCCTTGCTTAAAGGATTGCCAAAAGGAGAAAGGAAAACAAAAGGTAATAAAATGCTTTCGTTGAGAGTCGAACTCAAGACCTCCCGCTTACTAAACGGGTGCTCTAACCAACTGAGCTACGAAAGCTGTCGACAGCAAATTTCATATTAAATACTAAATTAATAAAACCACACTCCAGACTGTTGCCAAGCTCCAGATCGGCCTTCCAACCCCACTTGAGTGAATGACTATTCCCCAAGAAAGCAATAACAATAAGGTAAATGTGAAAGAAAGCATGGTCTTTCCAATTTTGGCCAATGTAAGTGTTAGACCAGACCTTGTATAACAAATTGGTAGTATGGCAAATTTTATCAAATAAAAAAGAATTTGGTACAAACAATTATTCAGTCTCTTCATTTATGGGAATTAGTTAGAAAACTCCCTATCAATTAAAAAGAATCAATATCAGGTCCCCGGACCCTGTTGAAGAAACCGAATACAATACATATGCTCTATACAACGATTGGAGTACTCCTCCACACTCGACCCCCTCGGCCTCCTTCAACCCAAAAGAATCTTCAAAAGAACAATGAGAGAAAAAATATTTAGATATTGTCTTTTGATCTCACAAGCGTTAAAAGTGATGAAATTCAAAACTCCCGCGTTCCTCTGTTTGGCATGGAAAGCAACTCTGAAACAAGTTAAATAGCAAGGGGCCCCAGGTGATAAGAATGAAAATGATAAAGAAGAAACCATGCTTGTGGATCACAATAAGATTGACTTGAGGACTAGGAGGACCAACAAGACAAAGCACATAATGATAAGTGTTGTGGCACACATCACCATCCCTCCTTGTTTCTGTGTTCTTTCTGCCTGCAAGCTCAATAGATATAAATTTGTGAGAGAGATACCCAGAAGAGTGTCTAGGTTTAAACAATTACGAGAAAGAAAACCTTCTGCAGTTGTTTGAGGCCTTCTTCAACTGTTGTTGCTACATTCTGAATGTTGTAGTCTATCCGATCAACAATTGTTCCCTGTTTGATGATGACAACTGAATTATGATTCTGGACTTTTGATAGGTATTCAAACTAATTCAATAATTGAGATGGGTTCTTACCTGGTCAATCACAAGGACTGACAGATCCTTCATAATCTGAGCAAGCTCATTTACTGATTCCACTACCTACAAAAATAAATTAATATGGGAATAATTTAGTTTGGAGTAACTGGAAATGCAACATAAGAATC